CCTCGCCTCTCTCCCTCCCTCTCTCCCTCCCCTCCTCCTTCCTTCCCTCCCCTCCCTCCCTCCTCCTTCTCTCCCGCGGCGACGCTTGTAACGACCCCCACGCTTCTAATCACGATTATGCACCTCGAATCACCGCCGCCAACATCGCGTCTCTCTCTCGCACCGCTGCGTCTTGTTCTTCTCCCCGAGAAACGGAAAAGAGAAGGTTCCTTCCTGATGGCTTCCCTAAAACGCGCACCGAGCACGCGCCCGTCTGTCGCCGCGAAAATGTCGACGGATCATCACCGCGTTAATTGCGCGGATTGTGTTTTCGATCGTCACGCGAGATGATCGTCTGTTGTCGCCGCTCGCGCCGCGACGGTGGCGAAATTAGCGTCTTGCCATCGAGACACGTGCGCGAGCGAGCACGCACGCGTAAACACCGGATATAGGCTTTCCGTGTCGGCAGCCGAATAGATGCAGCTGAAGCACTAATCCTCCTCCCCCTCCTCCCTCCCTCCTCCCTCCTCCCTCCCTCCTCCTTCCCCCAGCCCCCTCCCTCCTCTTCCCTCCTCCTTCCTCCTTTTCCCAGCCCCTCCCTCCTTTCCCCAGCCCCCTCCCTCCTTCTTCCCTCCTCCTCCCTCCTTCCTCCCTCCCTCCCTCCCCCTTTCCCCAGCCCCCTCCCTCCTCTTCCCTCCTCCTTCCTCCCCCTTTCTCCAGCCCCCTCCCTCCTCCTCCCTCCTCCTTTCCCCAGCCCCCTTCCTCCACGGGGTGGGGGCTATTGAGCACGGCGATAGAACGTTAGTAATTATGGCTCGAAATCCGCTCCCAGTGTCGACGGCGGCTTAGTCGCCGCGACGACCGGCTCCGCATACAACCGCCACTGATCTACATGCGCACCGGTCGCCTAATCTACGTCTCCATTATCGATTATTCCGCGTCGGCGGGGTCGGCGTCCCGCGAAGCAATCGCAGAGTCGATTATTTCAGGGAAACGATTTGCCGTCGTTCCGGCTTCGCGTTTCCGCCTGAAAAGGCGGACCGGGGTCGAAATCTAGATTTCGGGTCGATGCTGCAGGCTTTGCTCTGGGTGCGGTGATTAGAGAGGTGCGTGGGAGGCTGTGATTGGTTGTAGGGTCACGTGTGTGCTGGCGGGATGCCATCAGCGGTGTTAGATTGCGTTAGTAGCAGGTTAATTACTGATTATTACGTTTTGTCGTACGAAATGTTACTACGTCTATCGCTATTCGTGAGGAATTATAGAAACGTGTGAAAAGTGTCTGTGTGTATTCCATTCATTCACTCACATCTTTCTCTCTCTCTGTCTCTCTATCTCTCTCTCTCTCTTGCTCTCGCTCTTTCT